GGGGGGGTGGGGAGGGGAGGAGCGGCTCAGCACCCACTCGGATCCGAGGCTCCATCCCGAGCCGACACCGAACGGAACGGATCGGGCTTCGGAGCTTCGGAAGCAAGTTCGGAGGACGCATCTGTCGCATATCGCATATCCCAGACAGCCCCCTTTGGCGTGCTTGACACCTTGACCCCCGCTGCCACCGCTGAAGATTACATGAACATGAGAGGGTACATGTCGCGGATCTTGTTTGTTTTCTTTTATTGTTTGTGTTGTCCTATTGCAGTAATCGCGGGACCGCAGTGACGGCGCAGTGCCTCGTGCTGCGAGAGCTACGCCGAAACCAGTCACAACTCTCTCCTCGCCATGGCCGTCGTCGTCTTCAGGATCCTGGGGGCGTGCACCTTCTTGGTGGCCGCGATGGTCCTGTCGCTCTACCCCGCCTCCACTCTTTGCAGTGGTGTCCTGGATCCGGTCCGTGTATCCATAAGATGTCCCTTTGCCGTTCCCTTGCAATCATTTTTTTCCCGGTCGTGTTGCTTGAAAGGGTGGCCCACACAAGGCCCCGGACAACTTCGTAGTTGTACTGGACCGCATGCAGACGTGTGGGTTGCCTACCCGCAAGGGGCCACAAGGCGCATGCGGTACGGTATAACAACACTGTCCCCGGGGTTATGTGAGGGCCACCCTGTAGCGGGAGTCCTCCTCATGCACAGGCGGGGCTGGCGCGCTCCCACGGGTACGACGCGGAGGTGCACACGGCGCAGACGGACGACGGCTACCTCCTGTCCGTATTCCGGGTCCGCAACTTGAGCTCTGCTGCGCGCGGTGCTCCCCCTGTCCTGCTGGTGCCGGGCCTCGCGTGCAACGCGGCCATCTGGGTGCTGCTCGGGCCGGGGAAGGCCCTCGGTGAGTGTGCAGCCAGCAAGGCGGGAACACACGGCGTAGCGTGCGCGCGCAAACCATAAGCGCCCTGGCGGGCACTGCAGTGGGGGTCACTCGGCGTGCCGGGGAAGGCCCTCAGCGGGGAGAGTGGCGCGCACCCACCAGAGGCGGGAGCGGTAACGCGTGGCTGTGGCGGCCACTCTCATGTGCTGGGTACTACACGGGTGGGCCGGGGAAGGCCCTCGGTGAGCGCGCTGTCGGTATACGGTTAGCGCAGTCGGCTCCGCGTGCCCTCGGGGTCGAGTACACCCTCTGCTCCTACCCCCGCAGCGTACCTGCTCGCCGATCGCGGCTACGACGTCTGGCTGACGGACTACCGCGGCGCCATGTTCAGCCGCCGGCATGTCAACCTCTCCGACCAGGACAGCGCGTTCTGGGACTTCAGGCACGTACTTACAATGCCGGCACACGAGTCCGCCGACCAGGCGATTCAACCCGGCTGACGTCGCATGTCATTCTCGCCCACAGCCTGGACGATATCGGCCGCCTGGACATCCCGGCAGTGTTGCGCCTGGTCCTCCGGGAGACCGGGGCCCGCTCGCTGTCGTATGTGGGTCACTCGATGGGCGCGAGTGTGCTCAGTGTGATGGCCTCCTCGAGCCCACAGCTCGCGGACAACATCAGCCACGCCTACATGTTCGCCCCCGCCGCCTACATGGGCCATGCCTCCCAGCCCGCCGTCTACGGCAGCGCCGACGCCGTTTCACGACTTCACGTGCGTAGACACTTGGAACACTCAGTCAGCACCCGTCACCGTCAGCACTCTCAAGTGCCCCCCTTTTCCTTTTCCCGCGGTTGAGGAGAGGGGACGTTGGTTGGGCCCAAGGCTCCCGCACTTTGATACTCTAGGCGGGCCGCCGTCTCCACAGAGGTGCGAGGCGGGTTGGCCTACCCGGCGCTTGCAAGCCGCTATCATAGTGGGGACGGGGACACCTTGACTTGACACAAACGGCCGTTGTTCTGTCCCAGGATGATTTGGGGCTGTTCGCCTCCGGGGAAATACCTCTCAACTCGTGGTGGATGCGCATGACCATTCACGGCGTCTGCTCCACTTCGGTGGCTTCCCCGCTGTGCCTGATGGTCGGCGGCGTGTACGCGGGTCACGACAGCGAGCAGATCAACAAGGTACGTACACACAGCGGCGTGCACAAGACCCTAGAGCTATTGTAGACTGCGATTCTCATGTCCGTTTGCAGACAGCCATCCCGTTCTTCGTCGATTACATCCCTGACAGCATCTCGGTGAAAAGCGTACGGCATTTTGCCCAGCACTTCGGAAAAGGTTTGTGGATGTCGCGTCGCGGTTGACTCTTCTAAATGTGCGCGGCTACAAGCTCCACTCTCCTTCACCCCACTCATTGATTAACTCCAGAGCACAGCTTTCGGCGGTTTGACTACGGTCTGGTGGGGAACATGGCCACCTACGGACAGAACAGTTCACCGGAGTACAATATCAGCATGTCCAAGTTCCCTGCTTCGATATACTATGGAAGCAACGACTTCCTAGTTAACCCTAAGGTAAACCTGATTTTGCACTGAAACTTAAATTAGAAACTAAATGATCGTAATAATAATTATAGTTTCCCCATTAGGATGTGTTGGAGTTTTCCATGCACTTGCCCAGAGCAATTAGACCACCGTATAAAGTGTCGCTGGACAGATTCAATCACATTGATTTCTTTTTGGCTACGGATGCGAAAGACCTTCTATACAATCAGCTCATGAGGGACATGTTGCAAGATGAAGATCATAGTAAAATGTCTTCCATGACATGAGTATGGAATATTTTTAAAATGTGGTCATTGCATAAATCATACTCTGTATGCACATGGGTTTACAGTTGACCTATGCATTAGATGACTGGCGCTGAACCTGATGCCCCACCCCACCAGCAGAATTAAAATCCTCTATCCCCACTTCACTATACAATGTGATAATGTGATCCGAGCACATCCAAAGAGTAGTTGTGTATAAATTATTTTTTACAACATGTGTTTTTATTTAACAACATCAACAAGAAAGCAATAACAAAAAAAAATGTGGTTAAGACAACCAACTAACAATCTAAAAGAAAAGCAAAATCAAAGGCAAGATTGAAATATTAAAATATACCTCTGTTTAACAGTTTTATGGATAAAATGCAACAATTGAATTAGAATTACTGATAGGAATGATATAAATATGCTACTGTAAGTTGTGCAGTAGTTGACCAAGACAATGTATAAATACCCCTTAATAAGTAGAAATGTATAAGACTTAAAATATAAAAGGCCAACAAATGCAGGTACACTCTCAGTTTAAGATACATTAAACATAATTGATTTAAACCCATCACTCCCAGTCAAAAAAATCTATATGGCACTGCCACTTCCTATTTGAGTTATGAATATGAACATCATCAAAGACATTAAAACAGTAAATGCAAAGCCCCCAATATCCAATAATAAATTAACAGAATATAAATGCAAAGTCAACTTTCTAGACACCAAACTCAACAAGAATTGATACATTATTGGTACATCCATAAGGCAAGAGTGATTAAAGAAAATCCGTCTTAGAGAAACTCGTCTAGACGTCTAGAGAAACTGATCCAGAAAGCACCTGCCCAAGCCGAAAAATAATTTTTTTGTAACCATTATAATGGTGAAGTCAGTCAATCAAATGCCTTCAACAATTCTGTATATAAAACAGATGAAAATTTCTCTATCCTTTAAAACCATTAGGATTTTGCGATTGCCACTTCCACGTG